ATTCGAGTTTCAGTGTTCATTAACAAAGTCCTGTGTGAACACAACATGCTGACTGTTGACACATTGTCTGTGGGTGGCCACACGTGCATGAGGGTCTAGGTGCTGCCCCTACCTCTATGGAGTTGCCAGATGGTACCCAGATTTGCAGTGATGGAGTCCTTGAGGGTCCAGCAGATGGGCTGTGATTCTAGAAAAAAAGGTCTTCCCAACCTCAGGCAATCAGTGTGAGTAGAGCCAAGCAGAGACTGGAGAACCAGCGGCAGCATGGCCTGCAAGGCTAAGACAGTTACTATGTGGTTAGTCCTTTACAGAAGGATTTTGCTGACAGCCTCCCCCTGAACCCCTCTTCCCAGACTAAGTGATAAAGTTCATGGTTACTATTATTATTACTCTTGTTGTCCTCTTTTGATCTAGTTTTAACTTTCAGGTAATGTTGCTTAATGGAGCATGAAAGGAACAGGGGAGGGAGGAGGTGTTTCTGAGTCTCCAGAAAGTCCTGTGAATTTTCGCAGGTGGGATCTTTGTGTATGTGTGTGTAGCTTGGTAACACTTATCTGATCTTCAACGGAATCCTTGTCCTCAAATAGTAAATTGTAAGTCTGATGTTTCTTATCTCAGGTAAGCTAATATATACTTTCCCCCGAGCTGTCTGGAGGCCATGTCCTGAATAGTGAGGTCTTCCCTCAGAACCTACCCCTCTGTCTGGGTGGGAGAGGCCTACAGACCTACAGAGCAACAGAAGTAAGGAAGCCTGACTTTGTAGCTGGCAGAGGCAACTGAATCCTGGCCCTGCCCTCCACTGGCTAGGTTTCTTCTCTGACCTTTGGGTCCTAAGCTAGGTAATCCCACAGATAAATCAGTAATGTCTCCTAACGCTTGGCAATATCTGGCACATATAGGAACTGCAGAAATAGTGGCTGCCATTATCATGATGATGACTTATTTCATAATCAAAAGCATTTTCCTTGATTCACCCCAGGCTCATAAGAAGCTGCCCCATATTAGCTTAATATGGAATAAAATCTTGATCCAACTTTATCTTTGGTGACTAAAGCAAATTCACCAAAGATGTTCAGTCACATGATTAATCTGTAAAATAGCAGACTCTCGATCCATTATTTAAAAGTTCAGTGGCCTCCATTAAATATTGTTGATGGTAAATGCTTCTTCTTCTTCTTCTTTTCTTAAGATTTATTTATGCATACAAAACTGGGGTACAGGCCAGAGGTGCAGGGGCAGGGAGAGGATTCCCCAGAGACAGAGTGGGGAGCAGAACAGGCAGATGGATGAAGTACACTGCTGAGGGGAGCAGCAGGCAGGTCAGGAAAAGTCTATTGCACCATGTAGGTCAGCTCCCTGGCCTGGGATGGCACTCATGCTGAAGTGTCTATGTCTAACTTCAAAGTGCTGTACTTCATCTGGCTGCACCAGGGAGGACCCCCAGGTAAATGCTTCTAAGAGTGAAATTTGAAGTTCCTCAGTTGCAAAAGCTTTTGGTGTTTCAGACCTTTCCCTTTTTCCTGCTGGAGAGTTACCCTAGACTCTGAGAATCCCACAGGTCAGTCATCCATGGCTAGCAGGTCCTTTCAGAGCCTGGTGACCACCGCCAGGAGGGCTGAGAGCACCCTTGTTGCCAGGCTGTCCTGGAAATGGGCCTCCTAGATATAGGCCATTTCCAGCCTGGCTTAGTGCTGCCGACCCCCAGTTGCTGGGTGTAGTCCCATTCAGTGGGGGCTTTGTGGCTCCAGACAACAGCTGGAACCAGAAATGAGAGACTTCCAGCTACAAGCAAATGTTGCTGCTTTTCGAGGTTGAAATATTCTATTGCCAAATTGTCCCTGTTGGCCAAGCAAAAACAATCCCCCATGGGGACCCAGCCCCGCCTCAGAAGAACAAAAGCTTCCCAGTTCTCTGTGTCCCAGAGTGTCTGCAGTTGCAGGCACGCACAGCCCAGTGGGGAGAGATGACCATGTGACTTCCAAGCTTGGACAAGGTCACCCTTGTCCAGCCCTTTTTGCCTCCACAGGATGAAGGGCCTTTGACTGCCTGACAAAGGATGAAGCTGATTCTGTTCTGGTGTTGCTAGCTCCTGGGTGGTTAAGTTTTACAATGTCCAAGTGGCTTGGATTTGGGAGAGCAATGAGATGAGGATAAGGTCAGTTGTCCCCTGAAGTCCATGCAGATGGGTATGGGGGCACCTCCTGATCCTGCTTCAGGCAAGACAGCTGCACATGCTGGCTGAGTCTATTTCTTTGTTTCAGGCTAATCTCTCTCTAAGAAGTTCACCAGTGAGGCCACCCTATTCATTTTTCACTAGCCATTAAAAGTCTTTTCCTAGGGCCCTCCCTGGTGGTATAGTGGGTTAAAGCACAGCACTAAGAAGCTTAAGCCACTTCCACATGTGTTCGATCCCCACCTGCCCTGGAAGAGATCCACATGGCGCGGCAGACCCCTCCTGACCTGCCCGCTGCTCCCCTCAGCAGTGTACTTCATCCATCTACCTGTTCTGCTCCCCACTCTGTCTCTGGTGAATCTTCTCATCTTACGCATCTCTGGCCTGTACCCCAGTTCTGTATGAATAAATAAATCTTTTTAAAAAAAGTATTTTCCTAATAATAATAATTAACAGCTATATACCAGAGACATTTTATGGGGGTGGAGTGGGGAATGGGATTAAAAACAGTGGGGGGAAGGAAATGCACTGGACTATGGTGATGGCACACAGGTGATTTGGTGATGGGAAGCCCACAGGGAATACAACTGAGATGGAAAAATGCATAAAATGATGTAAAAATAGACTGTTATATTACTTTAAAAAAAAAAAGTATTTTCCTGTGGGGGAAGGGAAGAGCTTCTGAGCAAGAGAGAAGAAAAGTCCAGAGAAGATTAATGCTTACGTGAAGCTGGCCTTTGAGGCGGTTGTATTGCAACAGCCACACGCCATTAAGGCTGTTGAGCAAGGCAGAAGATGGCAGTAAACAGGTACAGGCTCCATGTCAAGGTGAATACCTGCCATGCTGAGTATCTTTTTCCCCACACCCTTTCTGTCCTGCAGTGAATCTCTGGAATGAAACAGCCTTCACTGTCAATTAGCAAATATACTGTGGTCAGAACTTACACAGATGTATGTGCAGGGGAGGGGAGGCATTTGGTTTCAGAGATGACTACTGACCAAATAGCTCAAATAAATTTAAATGGCTGCCAAATGAGCTAAAGCATTGTTCAAGAGGCTTCCAGAAGCTGCTCTTCTGGCTTGGCAGTCTGAGAAGGGGTTCAAGAACTTGCATTTTGAACAAGCATACCAGGGAGCAGGTGGTAGAAGCAACACTGAGAAACGTTATCTGTGCCTAAATGTCCTTTTGATGGACAGGCCTATACCCCCTCTTCTAGCCTGAACAAGCTGAAATAGCGAACTGTCTCCCAAGCGTTTGGAATAGTGGCTCACAGAACCAGCAGTGTGTGTATCTGAACCTGTCAGGTTACAAGTTTGCTTTGGAGGTGGTTTGGCCCTCTCCTGCCACTGGGCCTGCTCCTCTTCATCCTGGGTGTCCCAAGACACTGTCCTCAGGAACCCGCGCTGGAATGACACCAGACACACACAGGGAGACACTGGTTCCATGGACTGTGCTGCCTCTGTGGCCGCAGGTGTCAGGCTGTCAATGCACAGTTCTGCTTCAATGTCCCACAACAGCCTCACCCCACTCAGCCAAGCAGAATTCAGCACATGCTTTGCCTGGCCCCTTCTATTTCTCACCTCAAACAATACCCTCCCTTCCCCCAACAAGTCAGAATACTTGGGCATCATCCTAGACACTTTTTTGTTATTATTCCTTGTTCTAGAAATAACAAGATATAGCTATCACTTATTAAAATCAACACTTTACTGGTAGTAAAGCACCTCAGCTCTGTGAGGCAGCACTATAATTGTCCCTATCTGCCAAGTAATAGGCATTCAGGCTGGCTCACTTACCCAAGGTCTTGTGGCAAATGCTGGGTAAGGAGTGTGAACCGAGGCAGTCTCAAGCACAAGCCCTAGCCTACGAGCATGGCAAGATTTCTCTCATGGGGTCCTCCTCTCCTTCCACTACGCTGTTTTGGGGACCTGGGTAGGCGCCCTGACCTCGCTCCTCTGGACATGTGTCTCTATGGGTGTCCTGCAGGGACTTCTTGCCCTCAGCTCTGCCCCACCCCTAGCTGTTTTCCCTGAACAAGTAGGAAATCATTCTAAACTGGGAATCTGATGTCACTCCTCTGCAGAAACCCTTCAACGGCTCCCTGTTTTATACTCCTTGGCCTCCCAGCGAATGCAAGGTGGGAGCTGAATGCAGGATTGTCCTCTCAGCTACTATGTTTTGCTTCCCTCTCTGAGCCTGGATCTCTTCACTGGCAAATCAGAAGCACAGTGCCTGCTGAGGGCTCGTCAGAGCACACTTGGCACCTAGCAGGAGTGTGCTGGGTGCAGAGCAGGCAACTCGTGCATGACGCTTCTGTTGGTAATATGAAAGGGACAGTGTGGGGAGGGCAAGGGGGAGGAAAAATTGGTTGCTCTGAAAGGCAAGATGAATTGGAGTGGGATAACTATATCAGCACGTTGGAAATATTTTCTCACTCTTCACAACCTTCTGAGGTGCAGATGCTCTTTCAACTTTCAAATGGAGAAGCTGAAGCTGAGATGTGCACGGACCCCTTCAAGGCCACTCCAAACTGAGGCCTTTCTGAGTGCAAAGCCCTGGGTCCTCCCCTTGCCCTGCCCCTCTCTCTGGATGTGAAGTGTTGATTTGGAATTCCAACTCTTTCGGATCCTATTGGTTGAAGATCAATTGTACGTCAAAACCGTGACAAGATCTGCAGAAATTGGAGACACTAAAAGGAAATCAGGGCAAATGTTGAGGCCTGGCATTTGCAGAGTTCTGAAGAGCTCAGTCTCCCAGCACACGACACAGTCTTCGTAGTCAGAATGCACCCACCCAAATGACAAGCTGGGGCCCATTGGTGTTTCTACAACAATGAGAATATTTATTTCCCCAGACAGTAAAAATAACATTTTTCTCTCTTTTGTAAAAGTTAAGTACCATTACATTCCATTTTCTTAAATAACAAAATCCTAAAAATATATATTAAATTGTGTACAGTGCGTCACACTTCATCTTATATTTTAAAATACATGATGTTTCTGATTTATTCTCAAAGTTGCATATTAGGCATATTTACAAATAAAGCATTGTTATCCAAAGTCAAGATCCCCGCAGGAAGGTGAGTCTGGATGTAGGCAGGTCTTGATGCTTTGTGAACCCTAAGACATCAGCTTCCCCATGTGTGCGGGGAAGGCCCCCCCAACCTGCTCCTGAAGACACAGCCTTTCTGAAGCAGAAGATTTACCTTGGACTTCCCTCCACACTCCACTTTTGCCTGGTTGAGGATGTTCAACTTGGCAAGAGAAAGCCTGTGAGATGGGCCCACCTGGGGTCTGCAGGCAGAGTGAGGCCCAGTTACCCCTGAGCCATCCAGCCTGAGGGGAGGCAGCTATGGCTGGAAGGTTTGAAAAACACCCCATGCCAGGGCAGCTAAGCTGAGACCTGACCAGGAGGTAGAACAGTGAGGAAGGTAAACAAAGACACCAGAGGAACAATCAAAAGGTTAAAAATTCCCAAGGTAGTAACAAAAGCAGACATCAAACACCAAAAAGGAACTCTGAAACCCATGAGGGTGCCAGCTGACAGGGTTATGGAGTGGGGAGCTGGCCTGACTCTGTAGGAGACCTGGGGTGGCCTCATCAGAAAAGGGAGACAGTATCTCAAAAGCTACCCGCTTACAAGTGCTCATAAAGATTAATTGCCCAGGACGCACAGAGGCTTGGCTGTATGGCCTGAGTGCCCAGTGATGTCAGGACGGTCTGGCCAGACCCAGAGCTGGGTCAGGCCAACTCCTGCCTTGGGCTGACAATAGACCTGTGGGTGGGGCCTTGCCTAGGCACACCCTGTGCGTTTGGCTTTAGGGCCAGGACAGCTGTACTTGCTAATGTTTTGATCTTTGTGGGTTTCTGGCCCATTGGAATCTTGAGCCAAAGCCTACTTCTGAAATTAAAGCAACTGGGTTACCTTGCTCACACCTAGAGAGAGGGAGGCCTCAACCCTGTTCTGACGTGGTGGAAGTGGGGAAGGCATCCAGGGTTCATTCCTGCTCTTTTGGTCTGCAAGTGACTGACACATGACAGAGGCACAGGGCAGTCCCACTTGCCTTCCAGAGGGGCCCAGGACACTGTGAAGTGCAGTTAAGGGGCCAGGTTCACAGCTGGCTGAAATGCATTCACCAGGAAAGTAACAAGATTCCTGGCCCTCGGAGTGCATGCAGAGAAGGCAGGTGTGCAGACCATGCCTGGGTGAGGAAGGCACACAGGTACTGAGGCGAAAACTTCCCCTCCCCTCTATTCTCTCTGTCACCTCAAGGAAAAGACTCTGGGAGGGGGGCTCTTGTAGCAATCATTCATGGTGTTCTCCAAGGCCCCTCCCTTTCCTCTTTCATAAGCTTCTGCTGTGTGTTGTGTAAGTTACTTTTCTCAGGGTCAGCCCTTTCAAATACAAATCACTTTCAACTTTCACTTAAAGTAGCTTCTTAGATGATCAAGTGCTTCCTCGTTTGGTGCTCCTGAAAATACACCTTTACTCTCCTGGGACAATCTATTTCTCAGGTGTTGACTTAGCCACAGAGGTCCTTCCATGGGGTGTTGCTGACAGGTTCTGACCAAGGACTTGGTCAGACTGTGGCCATGGTATTTAAAGCCTGGGACAATTTAGGGCCCTCTTCCCCCACTCAGTCTTGAAACTGGTTTGGGCTTCCCATGGCCACTCCCTAGATAGTAAGTTGATTCTGGCAGCACTGAGGGTGCCAGATCCACAGGAAGGAGAGCCCTGGGGCCTCACCAGGGCTTCAGGCTCTCTCAGAGCCTGCTCTAGCCACAGGCTCGGCCAACACACAGGCTTGGCATTTAGACTCTGCAACCAGAGGTGAAAGGTGGGCACAGTCAGACTGGTGGCCCTTCAGGACGCTGCCCAAACTAGTAGTCAGTGTAAGCCTAGGCAGCTGAACAGCTGCCCCTCAGCAGGATGAACCCCTTCCTGAGGCCAAATTCCACATTCCCTTTGTGCTGTGAATGGATCTATTCACAATTCAGGCCCCTCTATGAGTGCGCACACCTGACACTTGTGTTTGAGAGGAGATTCCACAAAAGCCAGGGAAAGCTTCGAGGGGAGACTACACATGTCATTAAATTTCCAGTGGTCCTTGTGTGGGCAGGCATCTCCAGGCCCAGACCCGTCAGATAGCTGCTTCAGGGGAGTCACCCATTCCGGATCAAAGCCCGAGGACAGCACTGAGCACTCTGTGATCTCATAAGGTACCGGGGCAAGCCCCTGCCCTCCTGTGGAATTATTGCTCCATTTCCCTCCTGTGAATGTCGCCCTTTTCCTGGTTGCCAAGGATAGATGCTGACTGGCTGGCTCTACACAGCCCTCCATCTTGCTGGGAGCAGCCAGGTACAGGCTTGTTGCTAGTGTAGCTGAACCCCAGGAAGGGCTACAACAGGCAGTGGTTTAGGGACTTGGGGGAGGCCAGCAAAGTGTTCCAAGAGGGAACGTGTGAAGCAAGAGGCACAACAGGAAACAAGAACCTTTGGGAGAGTCAATCCTTGACAAAGGTCCAGGCCTGGCCTTCAGAGGCACAGGCTGCTCTTCTCAGCTGCTGCTGACAAAGCCTGATTTGGGATGGTGGAGCCTTCTAAATCAGAGATGGCGCTGATTCTCCCCATGGGTGGCCACTGCAGCTGCAGCTCTCAATCTTAGGAGGCTTATCTTTGAAGGGTCTCTAGTTCCCAAACTCTCCTTCTTACCCTATGCCAATCCCTTTGATTCATTCCCTATCCCTGTCATCTGAGGGCAGGGGCTCTGGGGCCAGGGGCCAGAGTCTTGCAAGGCTCCCCACCTAGCCATTTCTAACCCCACTTTATGCCCATGAGAAGGAGCAGAGGGCCACAGAGAATATGGACCTCAGAGAGTTTTTCATCTTCTTTTAAAATGAGAGATGACTAAAGGAAGGATTGCTGGCACTGTGTCTCACATAATGCTGCCTAAGTGCTAGTCCATGATGTTTATACTCCCTGTTCTGAACTGAGAGTCAGCTTAGAGAAACACAGAGATGGGGTCTGGTCAGGTCCCATAGGACCATGAGCTGCTTAGGGCCCAGATAAATCCAATCCAACATGGAGTAACTGAGCACCTATAAAAACTTTTCAGTAAATTTGAGGCATGAATAAATGAATGGATGTTTTATGAAACTGCTCTTTAAGCTTGCTCTTCTGGTCACCAAGTTACTGAAAGAAGTTATAAAAAAGAAGTCTGTATGTGGAAGATGTCAGGTTTAATGAGAATAAGAGTCACCAGGACTGGTTCATAGGACTCTCCTCCCCCAAAATGGGGGGTCCTTGTCTGGCACCCGGAGAGCAACGTTTGAATCAGCACAGAAATGAGTCCTCTTTAGGAATTTGGAGTGCTAATGCCCAAGAGTATAGGGCCAAGCTAACCCTCAAAAGAACCTCAGAATTCTCCGTCTGACCCTGTTCAGACATGGAGAAAGTGATATGTGTCGACAAAACAGAGAAGAAACTAGCAAAACTCAATGCATACTACACCTATCTGCCACTCGCCTGTTGTCTAGAATGTACCTGAGCCTAGTGCAGGACACAGCCACATCTGTCATTTCAGCCCCACTGTCCTAACACTCCCATTCCTAAATTAGAAAGAGAGAGTGAGAGAGGCAGGAAAGGCCGGACCCTAGGACCTAGAGTCTCTCTCATAAGTGCAGCTGATGAATAAGGTCGAATCCAGGCTATGCTTGCCCCTGCAGTAGGGTGCCCCTTCCCGGCAGGGTTCAAAGGAGGTGCCCCTGGGGGGTGAAGGGAAAGGCAGGGAGGAGCCGGTCAGAGGAAACCAGGGAGAGGTGGTCCCCAGCAGCCTTGAGCTCAGAGGTACCTCATGTCCTGGGCACAGGGTGGAGAGCCTTTTAGTCACTCACAAGAGGATTACAGTCATCTTGTTGACTCTGACCTTTGAGCTTCTTCTTAAAGATAGAAATTGAAGTAGAAGGCTCATAAAAAATGCTCCAGATTTCTCCTGATGCCCCTGATTGATGACATTCTCTAAGGTCCCCTGAAGTAGGAACACGATGGGACCTGTCAAACAAAAATAACATTTTCAAGTGGAGTAGAACAAAGTGTCACAAACAACTGCCTTTTCATGAGACACCTGTAGCTATTAAATGGGCTACACAGTGAAGCAAGCCCTTGGGAAAAAACCTAATAGCTGCTTTTAGAGAGTTGAAGGAGAAAATGTGGCCTATGGAAAGTGTGCCACAGGGCAGATTCGAACTCAGTGTAACAAAAACTTTCAAAATGGGTGACTATTCAAGTCTGGAAAGGGCAGGTCTGAAAGATTTTTTTCTTTCTTTTTAAATACAACTTTCTTCAGATGACATCTACCTGGAAGCCTACCTCAGTAAAACATAATAAAAACAAAATTGTTCTGCTTAAAAAAAAGTGGGTCCTGCCTTCAGGCTATATTCAGTACATGATAATAAGGACATTGTTTCCATGGAAAAATGTAAAGTGCAGGGTGCAGAGGCCATGGGTGGTCCCAACTTGGTCAATGACAACTCTCAAAGGCATTTAAAATGTATAAAACTTGACAGAGTGTGACAAGGTCAGGGAAATGGTGTCTTTTACAGGACTTCAACATTTGGGAAGTCCTTTAAATGGAGAGCCTGGGCTGGAACCCAGAGTAGGGGTCCAGAAAAATTAGAAAGTGCTCCCCTCAGGTAAGCATACAAACATGAGTAGCATGAACAATTACCACTTCCTGAGCAGTGAGATAAGGGAAGAAGTAAAATTTTCCAAGTTGGTCAGACTTGAAGGATGTCACTTCTCTAAGCTTCTTAAATAACTGTTTAAAGTAACTATTAAGCAATATTTAATAAAGGTTAGAATTCCTCTCCTAAGAATATTGCCCAATTTCTAGAAGGCATTGGGAGATATGTCTGAATATTGTCCTAGAACTCTCTGTTTTGCATAACGATCTCTTTAAGGAGCCGGCACAAGCCAAAAAAAAAAAAAGGAAATTGATGCTTTTATGCTCAAATTCTATTTGCATTGAAATTGTATCCTTTGGAGCAAAAAGAAAGCCCTCAAACCTTAATGAGATCTGTCCAATGGTACATTTCACTCAGCAGTGAATGAGGGATGTCTATTGCTTCAAGATTGCCTACAACTAAAGCTTTAGAATGTCCTGTCACAATAATTGTACCAGACAAGTGTGGCAAAGGAGAAAAGGAGTTCTGGGCCTTCCTCTCCAGAAAGGGGGCACCTCTTTCATACTCACTTAGATGTGACGTGCAGAAGTACCTTTGCTACAATAGCTGTAACTGTGAGGATGAGTAGAGTTGCCAGGCCATACACTGTCCATCCTAAAAATGCAAAGGACAGAGTTTTAATGATCTGGAACTCAGCTTCAGAAGATCTGTTGAAGTCCTGAGTGAACACCGGCAACCCAGAGGTATAGATCTGCCTGGGGAACTCCCTGCAGGTGTGGGGCAGTCACTAAAGGTAGCTGAGAGTCAGGCTGGTAAGGGGCCCCCAAGCCTTCGAGCACCCCACCTTGCTCTAGGGATCTTTCTTAGGGAGAGGCAGGTAGTGTGGCCATAAGTAAACTCAACCCAGATTCAAAGGGGTGATATACTGTCTCTATTGCAGAACCACAGGGCAAGCACAGATGAGTTATATAAACTCTTTTGGCCTCAATCTCCTCATCAGAGGAATGAGATGTGTGACCTGTGAAACCCTACTGGGATATTGGTTTGCAGTTATCCCAGGCCAGGTAGGTTCACTGTTAGTTCCAGCAATTTGAAGGAGAAGTTTGGAGCCCTTCACATCTTTTTCACAAGTTTGAATGGTAAGCAGGGGAAACAAGCCAGCAGGGGGTCAGCAATTTGAGCCCCCTGCGAATCTCTATGTTCTTTTCTCTGGCGTTCTCTCATGGTCCCTTCCTCTTGTAGACATTCCACTGAAGCGGTCTCTTAGTAACACTGCCCTTCTAGCCTCTGATCTCCAGGTTCATGTATGCACACTTGCACATACACACTGCACACACTCATGCTCAGATATCCAAAATCAGGCATGCACATCCCACGCCTACACATGAGCATTCTATGTTAACAAGATCAAGACCTCAATTGATAGCTAAAGAGGCCAATGACATAAAAGCCTGATCAAATTCACTTACCCTACAGATATACAAACAAACCATGCAGAGCACTGGAAGGCTCTTCTCCCTGACATTCTATGATAGGTCCTGTGGGGGCCTAGGGAAACTGTGTGGAAACCTCTATGCACTCTAATGGCACTTTGCATTTTAACCACCTTATGAAGGCTCAACTTTCTTGGCAGAAAAAAAGAATGGAGGTCTGTCCCCAACCAAGCTAGTCATTTTGAACCATTAGACCATGACCCACTCTCCATCCCTCTTCCGCACAACTTTCCTTCATAACTCTTATCACTCTCTGATTTTTTATTTCACCTCTTGTCTTTCTCTTTCCACTGATCAGCCACAGGAGGCTTGGGCTTTTGTTTGGTTCACTGTACATTCCAGTGCCCACAACATTGCCTGCTACCATGAAAACACATACCTTAAATGACTAAGAGAACTACAAATGTGAATGAGTTTGGGAACTACAACTTTGGGCCTATAAAGATAATCTCAAAATGAGAAAACAACTGGATTAGTTAATTAATCTCCATTAAAGGCACACTGCTGGCTCTTTGGAGGAGAAAGATTTTTTTTAAGGGACTAACAAGTTAGTTAATGACAGTGTCCCTCAAAGGGCAGGACAAACTTTAGTCATAGAGCCAGTACTCCAAACTTGTGTCAGAGTTAGAAACGCCCAAAACACTCATTCTCTGTAACTGCCAAGAGCACTGCTTTCAAGTTCTTCAACACGTTGACGATGCCTGGGAACTGCTACCTGGAACAGTCTGGGGTTGGTGGCTGGGGCTGGTGGTGATGACATAGAGGACTTTGGAAGACCGGGCAGCACTGATGCTGAGGTTGGCCTGCTCTGTGATCACCTCAGCCAGGGTCTGATTGGCAGTTGGCCGCTCCTGAGGCGGTTCTTCCTTGACAGCTGGAAGGTAAAAAGGAATTAACTGAGGGGAGGAAGCTTATGAAGATAACAAAGAGCTGTGGAGGCAGCATTGATTATAAAAGACTTCTCTGATTCAATTCTGGGTACAATTCTCCCCACTGACTACAAAGCAGAACTTGTCAGGCTCTGAGCCTGAAGGAGGCAGAGGGGAAAAGAGTTATCAACTCCGAATCACTTCTAATCTCTTCGTGGACACCTGAGCATGCTTTATTGTTTTTCTATTCTTAATTAAGTCTTTGTAGCTATGACTCCTTTGACTGGAATGGCCTTATTCCTTCTCTATTCACCCAAGGCCTTCCTACTTTTCAAGACTGTCCCACCAGCAGGAAGGCCCCTCCCTCTTTCTGTAGCACCCTAACTAGACTCTTCTTGAGGCTGTTGCCATTTGACTAAGGTCTTAGACATCTCCTGTGTTTCTTGCATACTAGCAAAGAGACATGCCAGGTACACATGCTCATGATATGCCCTTAAGGGGCATCTGAAGAAATATGTAAGCCACTCTTTAGGGACTGGCTGAGATATTTAGAGGTAGGAGGATAAATCAAATAATTCCTTTACTTATGGCCTCTTCTAGTTTTGCCAATTTCAGCTTTCTTTTAGTTATTATTATAACCCTCCTGAGTTGAATCAGTAACTCCATACTAGTAGTCCTTTTAGCAAGAACTACCCAGGTGTGGAAAGGCACAGCATGGTACTTGCAAGAGGAGCTCCCATGGGGATGAGAAAGTCTTACCTTGGTATAAAACAGCAAATCCCTGGGCCTGATTGATGCGATCAGAGAAGAAATACAAAATGACAAAATCCAGAGAGACGTTAAAGGACAAGGGTGGGCGGTTCCTTCCATTGAAACGGACCAGGACTCGGTGGGTATAGCCGTCCAGCAGCTCCACCATGTCTGCGGAATCCCTGATGTCAAATAAGGTGAAGGTGAAGTGGATCTGGGAGGCTCCTGGAACTCGGATGGTCCAGTAGCAGACTCTCCCTGTGGCATAGGTGTCAGGAAAGTCAGGGGAATAGACAACTGAAGTCATGGCCGAGTAATTCCCACCACAGGCACCGACAAGAGCTGCAAGAGACAAAAGGATGTGGGTCCTTAGTCTGGCTCGGAGGCAGGGCTCACTTTCCAACCTATTACAAACAAAACTCTTCCTAACTAATGTAATCCAGTTAGGGGTATTGTTTTTTGTCTATAAAACCGGACTGTCTTATGTTTCAGGATCGAATCACTAAATGAATTGCTTAGATCCTGAACAAATGACTGTGGAGGCCTTTTCTTTTTTGTGTGTGTGCCTGGGAGACATTAGAATTAGCACAGAGCACAGTGGCACAGGCTAGGTGGGGCTGGGCTGGAGTCACAGAGTCTGGGTTCAGGACCAGCTGGGCCATGTGATCCCAGGGACTGTGCTACAATTCCAGGCCTCTCACTCTCTCAGTTCTTAGGATGGAGAGACTACCACCTGCTCCTGTGGTGCACAAATATATGAGGACAGATGAGGCAAAGCAAATGAAAACCCTGGGACCTATTTGTATGGGAGACACTTAAAGAGGAAAAGTCACAAAGGGCTTTATAGCTGCTGAGAGGTATAACACTCATAGGAGGGTTCACAATTATTTTTCAAGTAGGTCACTGTGGCATATGAAAATGACTTTCTGCAAAGAGGAAGCACTAGTTCTGATGATGCACTTTTGATTTCTCTGGACTCCCATATTTGAAGGAGGGTATACAAGTACTTCTCTATATCTTATATACAAAAAAAAAAAAAGCAAACAAAGTTCTTGAAATGAAAATTCCTGAGAGGGAATGTAGGGCTGGGATTTTAAAAGCAGGCTCTGAGGGAGTTTGGTTTCCCTTCAGAATATAGAAAGTAATAAAAGAATACTGTTTTCATCCTAACAGTGAGAAAGAAGTCTAAAACTTCTCTTCAACACATAAAACCTGTCTCAAGAAAACTAAGGGAATTTAATACTAAAAAGTAAGAAGCCCCTCAAGGAAGTACCAGGCCAGACAAAGTGTTTCATATCTGACAGAGAACAAGTAGAAGGAAGGCCACTATTAAAGCAGTAAGAAGAAAGCAATTGAATAGCTGAATGTGGACTACCCTCTCAGTCTAAAACACAGGAGTCCTGTGCAGGTCTCTGTAACTCGCAAAGATTCCCTGCTTCTGGGGGAAAAGTAGGAGTAAAAATCAGCAGTCCCTGGTTGCCTTGAACCCCAGGACCCTGCAACAATGCAAAGCAGAGGTCTGCTACCCCTGACAGAGGGGCAGGAAACTATCTCCTTCCCCATACTCAATACAGTATTTGGCTGCCCGAGAGAGGAAGAGTTTGCAGGAATGCTGAAAAGGCCACCTCTGAGGCCCAGTAACTGGTCCTGCCTACAACTGAAGAGCACAGAACTGAGAACCACCTCGCACCACTACCTCACCAGGAGCATCAAGTTACAAGCAATTACAGTCCACCAATAAGTGAGGAGAGAAAATGTGGAGAAAGTTCCCTCTTTGGTATAGGCTTGAAGGAACTGCTCAAAGCTGAGGTGGAAAGGTAACAATGAAAAAACCTCAAAGAACCCCAAAAAACACTGGTCTCCCAGCTTCCACACTAAGCACAACATAACAGCAGTTCCTCACTGGAGGAATCAGAAGCTCACTCAACTACTAAACAGCTCTAGTTCCTTTATTGAACAAATTTTCCCATTACCATGGAATCAGAACCTCACTCAACTACTAAACAGCTCTAGTTCCTTTATTGAACAAATTTTCCCATTACCATGGTGAATACTATTTACTACACCCTCTACAATTCCTCTACACACAGCATATGGCATTTAAAAGAAAATTACATTGCTCCCTAGCCAGGATCACAAAGGAAAAATTGGGAGAAAACACAAATAAATAGAATCATAAACGAAAGAGGAAGAATTACAATAGACCCTGTAGAAATCAAAAGAAAAATCAGAGATTACTATGAACATTTATATGTAAACAAGTTCAACAATCTAGAAGAGATGGACAAATTCCTGGAACGATGTAATCATCCAAAAATAGATAAAGAAGAAACAGAACACCTATACAGACTAATTACAAGTAGTGAAATTGAAACAATAATCAAAACACTCCCCCAAAACAAAAGCCCAGGACCAGACAGCTTTACAAATGAATTCTACCAAATGTTTAGAAATTAACTAGTGTCTATCATATACAAGCTTTCAAAAAATCGAGAAAGAAGGGATATTACCAAATATGTTCTATGAAGTCACATTACACACTAATACCAAAACCAAATAAAGACAACACACAAAAATCCTCAATAAAATTCTCGACATCAGAATCCAACAATACATCAAAAGGTAATACACCATGATCAGGTGGGATTTACTCCAGGGATACATCCGAAAATCAATTAATATATATAATCCAGTACATCAACAAAAAGAAAAATAAAAACCCTATGATCATATAAATATCTATGCTGAGAAAGCATTCAACAAAGTTGAAAGTTCAACATCCATTTATGATGAAGGCCCTTGAAACATACCTAATATGATAAAAGTCATGTATGACAAATCCACAGCCAATATTATTCTTAATGATGAAAAGCTGAAAGCTTGCCAGTGCTTTTCATTCACTCATTTTTTTTTGAGAAGAGAAGCTGCTTTAAAAAAATTATTTATTTATGCATACAGAACTGGGGTACAGGCCAGAGGTGCGGCACAGTGAGAGGATTCACCAGAGACAGAGTGGGCAACAAAACAGGCAGATTGACTGAAACACACTGCTGAGGGGAACAGCAGGTGAGACAGGAGAGGTCTGCTGCACCATGTGGGTCCCTGGCAGGGATTGAACTCACAGTGAAGTGGCTACAGCTAGCTTTGCTTAAACCCGTTGCACCACCAGAAAGACACACCTCTGCTTTTCAATGTAATACAGGAAATCCTAGCCAGAGCAATAAGACAAGAGAAATATATACAAGGAATCCAAGTAGGGAAAGAAGAAGTAAAACTATCACTATTTGTAGATGATATGATAATATACATAGAGAACCCTAGACATAAATGAACAATGATATAAAATAAATAAATTAAAAAAATATATAGTGCACTCAAGGAAGGAAGGAATAGAGGAAGAAGGAAGGAAGAGAGGGAAAGAGTAAGGAGTTTGCTCATCTATAAAATGAAAATAACAATATCATCTCCTTTTTGGAGTTATAAGAATTAAATTGAGTTGACACCTGTAAAGTGTTTAGTATAGGATCTGTAAGATCATAAAGTGTCAGTCATGCCATTATTATTATTATTAATAGTAGTAGTAGTAATATATTTTGTAAAGAAGAAAGTATCCAAGTTAAACTAATGTTTTTATGTTAATATAACCACTTAAAAATATATTTTCCAAAATAAAAGAATTATATTTCAACAGCAAAGGCAGATCTTAAACTTAGAATTTTCTCTTCCCAGATGTATGTCATACATCTCTAGTTCAGCAATTTTGAAAGCACACACATGACATCTATATGCTTATTAAAATTTAGTGCCATATGCAACAGAAAACTTGGGTTTTAGGAATATATTCAAGATTATATGTTTTGAAGGGGGATCAGTCTAACACATGGGCAGGCTTAGGACCTGGACTAGACCTGTGCAAAAACCTACAGTACTAAGGAACCAGAGTCCTCCTGCCTTCTGTGATTTAGCACCTGTTCTCCTCTCCAGCCCCCCTTAATATTAGTTCAGTCAGTGTCTTCAGAAATAAATTTCAGGAATTGGCTGGAACAACTAGCTGAATGTTCTGCTTCTAAACACAAAAAATAATGAACATGCCGCAGGAAACATACCTTAACCAAATGGGACCCAGTCATGAGTCAGATGTATTGACACCCAGAAAAGAAAATGGAAACATAAAATATATCATCTGATGTTACTGATTTCTTTCTGTTTGCATGATATTTTGAATTTATGTTGGTGCATACTTCATTCCTTTCTGTGGCTGAATAATATGTCACTGTACAGATGTACCACCTTTTGCTTATCTAGTCATTAATGAGGGACATTTGGGTTGTTGTTTCTTTTTGGTTATTAAGAATAATGTTGCGGCCCTCCCTGGTGGCGCAGCGGGTTAAAGCGCAGCACTGAGAATCTGAAGCCACTTCCGCATGAGTTCGATTCCCGCCTGCTGCCTGCCCCGGAGGAGCCCACATGGCGGGCCAGACCTCTCCTGGCCCGCCCACTGCTTCCCTCAGCAGTGTACTTCGTCGATCTGCCTGTTCTGCTCCCCACTCTGTCTCTGGTGAAGCCTCTCACCGCCCCCTTTTCTTGCCTGTACCCCAGTTCTGTATGAAAAAATAAATAAATCTTTAAAAAAAAAAAAAAAAAAAAAATTTGCTAGGGTTTTTGCCTGAAAAAAATTTTTTTTTTAAATTTGAACACATATGTTTAACTTTTTCAGGTATATATCTAGGAGTGGAATTTATAGTTTATATGGTTATTTTTTGTTTCACACTTTGAGGAAATGCTAGACTACACCATTTTACATTTCCACCGACAATGTATGAAGGTTCTGATTCTTCTATATCTTCAACATTTGTTTTTCATTTTTAAAAATTAATATTATATTCTATTTAAAACAGAAAAATGGGTAGTGAACTCACATACCCTGCTTCTGTCTACTGTCTAGTTCCATGGCTTCTTGGCAGTGTGGGCCCTGGCAAGTTATGTAGCCTTTCCATGACTTCTGACTCTTCTGTAAAATGAGAGTGAAAATAATATTGCCTTTCCCAAATGGCTGCCTGGAGGATCTAATGTGATAATTCTTAAAAAGTCTTAATATATATCAAGTACTCAATAAACATTTATCTTCTTTCTTTTTTCACTGAAGAGTATAGCAAGCAATTTATAAGCTGAGCAAACATCTTCTGAATTGGGGTGTTGATACAGAGGATTTTATAATAACTAACTCTAGAAATGATGTACAGCACATATTATTTATGCCAACTATTGTTGTTGTTTTTTTTTTTTAGATTTATTTATTTATACAGAACTGGGGTACAAGGCCAGAGGTGCAGGGATGATTAGAGGATTCACCAGAGTCAGAGTAAGAAGCAGAGTAGGCAGATTGATGAACTACACTGCTGAGGGGAGCAGCGGGTAGGACAGGAGAGGTCTGCTGTGCCATGTGGATCACCTCGGGGTTGGGGGTCAAACTTGTACCGAAGCATTTGGTCAGCTTTGCAGTGCTGTGCTTTAACCCCAACTATTTTTCTTTAAAAGTTAGCTAAAGTTCAAATTGAGTATTTATCTTGACAAAAGTTGTATAGGAAGTCACTGTTTAACCTCTGATGGGGACACAAAGTAAAAATTAACAATTTACCCCATGAGTTCTGCTTGCCAGTCTTCCCTGACAAACACCCATGCTCTAGGCAATGCCTACATTACAATCTTCAAAAGGCTCAATCATAAGTGGATTGAGTTTTATAGTCAACATATATAATGATTAAATTATGTTCTCCAAAAAGGTATTCAAGTCCTCATGCCTGGTATTTGTGAATGTGACCTTCGCAGTAGACTCTTTGTAGATGTTATCAAATTAAGAAGAGACTACTAGTTTAGGCTGGGTCCTAAATCCGGTGAGTAGTATCCTTCGAATGAAATACAGAGAAAAAGAGAGGCACAGACAAAGAGGGAAAATGGACATGTGAAGAACCAGGCAGAGACCAGAGTGATGCAGCTACAAGTAAGGAATACCAAGAATTGCCAGCAACGACCAGAAGAGATGAAGACACAAAGGACTCTTTCCTGAAGCTCAGAAGGAGAATAGTCCTGATACCTTAGTTTTGCACTTCTATTCTCCCAAACTACAACAGAATAAATTTCTGTTTTCAGCTACCCAGTTTGTGATGACTTATTATGAAAGCCCTAGGAAACTAATACACCCTAGGATGTTTTTGCTTAAAATGAGCTGCTTTGTCTAATCAAGATATCAGGCACACATCTACTTTAGCCTAATTACTAACAAAGACACTAGAGACTCAATCGTGTATCTCAGTAATATGAAGTCTTTCCTTCTACCTGCCTTATTTGTGACTATCTCCTTTCTACTACTGTAAAATCTGGCGCTTCACTGTTCCTGTGGCTTCCACAGAGTCTAACCAATGCTGAGAAAATATGGGTGGATTATGACATGGGATTAGTGGTCCAGTGGTTAGACCATGTCACAGCATCTCACAAATGTGGCAGGTTAGAGAGGAGGGGAGTCAGGACACATTCAGTATCAGGACTAGAAAGACAATTCCAAGTTTACATTCTCACCTCAGTTTGTGTATTACAATAAGGTATCAATCTCACATGCCTAAAAAAGCACTAAACGGGCACTGAAGTTATACAAATCAAAAGAATGTTAAAGCTGATACCAAATAGTTTTATCAGTGTCTACATTAAATTGGAAAGGTTATTTTTTCTAGGTTGTCAAGTATGTCACAATAGATCACATTACTTCAAAGCACATGGCACAACAGTAATTACTTGTTAAATATTTGTCCCACCTTCGATAGTAGAAGGCTGGAGCTTGTTCTCATTCGAGGCTATATCCCCAGGGTCCAGTCAGTGCCTGGACTGCAGCAGGTGCCTAATAAGTATTGCTAATTGAATGAATGAATAAATGGAAGGCAGTAAGGGTGAGTGAGCTTGTTCCTTTGGGACTCCTATGCCTTGGACAGTTATGCACCTGGGGTATACTCACTGTCAAAGAGGATGATCCTGCCATCACCACCACAGGGCTGGGTGTGATCTCCGAAGCAGACACTGTTGCACTCAGTACTGGCTGCCTCCCCATATTGCCAGTAATCAGGATTGTTTCCACAGAAGCAAGCATAGCCTGACTCCATCCCAGCAAACTGTGACAACAGAGAAACATCATTTAGTGAGCATCAGCCTGGGGTGTCAGGTGACCAAAGGAGTCTATCAGGGTTGACCCTAGTAAGCAAAAAGCCTTATTTTTTCAGCCCCTACCCCTGGCACCTCTCCTTTGTCCTGCATTCATAATACTCCATTCACAGTGACCAATAACTTCTTCAATGGCCTTTCCTTCAAGTGTTTTAAATTTCTATTGTATTTAAGTAAGTTTTAAGGACAGTAGATCCCATCAAGTTGAAACATTAATGATAACAACTAAAGATTTTCTTGAATATCTATACATATTAGGTAGTAAGTGCTTCAGCGCTAGTATTCACAACAAACACCTTATAGACTCCATTTAAAACTTTTATTTTATTCTTTATATTGCCCATACAGTAAAAGCATTTATATGGTATATAATTCTATAACTGTTAACCCATGTATAGATTTGTGCAGCCACCATTATAACCAGGTGCATCACTCCAGTAACATCCCTCCTATAACCCTTGCAAACCACTAATTAGTTTTCTACTGCTATAGAAAAGATTTGCCTCAATTTATGAGATTACACTAAAATAAATCCATCATCAGTTAAAAATATTCTAAATTGGGCCCTCCCTGGTGGTACAGCGGGTTAAAGCACTGCATTAAGAAGCTAAAGCCACTTCCGCATGAGTTCGATTCCCGCCTGCCCCGGAGGAGACCACATGGCGTGGCAGACCTCTCCTGACCCGCCCGCTGCTCCCCTCAGCAGTGTACTTCGTCGATCTGCCTGTTCTGTTCCCCACTCTGTCTCCGGTGAAGCCTCTCACCACCCCTGAGCCTCTGGCCTGTACCCCAGTTCTGTATGTACAAATAAATAAATCTTTTTAAAAAAAAATTCTAAATTGTGGAGGTGCTTCAAACTGCTAAATACAGAGCTTTCATATGACCCAGCAATCCCACTTCTAGGTATCTACCCAAAAGACACAAAAACACTGATTCAAAAAGATACCTGTACCCCCATGTTTATTGCTGCTTTATTTACAATTGGAAAGACATGGAAACAGCCCAAATACCCAAAAGTAGATGAATGGATTAAAAGGATGTGTACATATACACAATGGAATATTACTCAGCAACCAAAAAAATAAAACCATGCCTTTTGCAGCAACATGGATAGAGCTGGCAGGGATCATCATTAGTAAAATAAGCCAGAAAAAAAGGGAAAAATATTGGATGGTTTCACTCATAGCAGGAGTATAACAGACCATGAGAGAAAATAATAATTATAATGAATAGCTATATACCAGAGACATTTTATGGGGATGGAGTGGGAAATGGGATCAAAAACAGTGAGGGGAAGGAAATACACTGGACTATGGTGATGGCATATGAGTGATTTGGTGATGGGAAGCCCACAGGGATTACAACTGAGATGAAAAAAAATGATGTACAAAATGATGTAAAAATAAACTATTACATTATTTTAAAAATACCCTAAATTGGCCCTCTCTGGTGGCGCAGCGGGTTAAAGCACTTCACTGAGAAGCTTAAGCCACTTCCGCATGAGTTTGATCCCCGCCTGCCCCGGAGGTGACCACATGGCGTGGCAGACCTCTCCCGACCCGCCCGCTGCTCCCCTCAGCAGTGTACTTCGTCGATCTGCCTGTTCTGCTCCCCACTCTGTCCCTGGTGAATCCTCTCACCCTCCGCATTTCCGGCCTGTACCCCAGTTCCGTATGAATAAATAAATAAATCTTTAAAAAAAAAATTCCCTAAATTGAAAATACATTTAATACAACCAACATACCACACAAAACAGCTTAGCCTAGCCTACTTTAAATGTGTTTAGAGGATTTACATTAGCTTATACTTGAAGAAAATCATCTACAAAAAGTCTGTTTCATAGTAAGTATTGAACTGCTTGCGTAATTTTTTGAGTATAGTAGTGAAAGTGAAAAACAGAATGATGCCTACTTTTTATACCTTAATAAAGTAAAAAAATTATGGGTTGAACCACTGTTAAACTGGGGACTGTTTGTCTTTTCAAATTGTCATATGCTACTGACTAAATTATGAATCTCCCCCAAATTTATATTTTGAAAGCTAATTCTCAATGTGATGTTATTTTGAGATGGGACTTTTGAGGGAATGATTGGGTAATGAGGGCAGGGCCTTTAAGAATGGTATTTGTGCTCTTTTATAAGAGAACCCAGAAAACTCTCTTGTCCTATCTACCATGTCAGAACTCATTGAGATGGCTATGAACCAGGAAATAAGCCCTAATCACACACCCAATTTGCTAGTAGCTTGATCTCACATTTCTCAGCCTTCCAGAACTGTGAGAAATCCATGTCTGTTTTTCTTTTAAGATTTATTTATTTATGCATACAGAACTAGGGTATAGGCCAGAGGTGCTGGGGATGAGAGGAGTCACCAGCGACAGAGTGGGGAGCAGAATAGGCAGATGTACTGAAATACACTGCTGAGAGCAGCAGGTAAGACAGAAGAGGTCTGCAGCACCATGTGGCTCTCCTCCCTGTCAGGGATCAAACTCATGCTACAGTGGCTGCAGATAGCTTCATAGTGCTGTGTCTTAACCCCTTGCACCACCAGGGAGGCCCCATACATGTCCGTTTTTAATCTACCCAGTCTATGGTATTTTTGTTACAGTATCCTGAAAGATTAAGACAACATATACATGAAATCATATAGTATGGGACCTACTGAAACTGGCTTTTTTCACTCAGCATATCTTTGAAGTTTACCAATATCGGTGCAGGTATCAATAGTTCACTCCTTTATACTGCTGAGTGGTAGTCCATCATATGGTTGTACCACAGTTAATACATCAGATTGTTTCTAGTTTTTCATGATTATGGAAAGAGTGACTACAAATGTGCACAGATTTTCATTTCCTAGGGAATATACCTAGGAGTGGGAATGCTGGATTTTATGGTAGTTGGATATTTATAAGAAACTACCCAACTATTTTCAAAGCAACTGTACTATTTACATTCACAAAACAGTGTATGAGTCTCAGCTGCTTGTCAAATTGCTCCTGTCAAAATTTGTTAATGCCAGTATATTCTAAAGTTGTACAGTGGTTTCTTATTGTGTGTTTAATTTACATTCATTCTAATACTTAATAATGCTGAATGTCTTTTCATGCACTTGTTTGCCATCTATATATCCTCTTCGGTGAAGAATCTGTTTAATGAATCTTCTACACATTTATTTATCTATTTTACTATTGAGGAGAGATTCTCTGCCCTCTGCATATTCTAAATACAAAATCTTTTGTTACACACAGGTTGCATATATTTTCTCTGAGGTTACAGCTTTTGCTTTCATTCTCTTAAAAATGTCTTTTGCACAGCAAAAGTTTTAAATTTTGATTAAGTCCAAATTAAATTTTTTTCATTTATAGATTGTGCTTTTATGATATGCCTAGAAACTTTCTGCTAAAACTGGTCATAAAGATTTCCCCTTTTGCTTTCTTCTAAATATTATAGTTTTATATTTTATAGTTAGACCAAAGATCCATTTTGAACTGCGTCTAGTTTTTTGTGTTTAACACCTTTCAGGTTAGTATAATTTTTTTTTTTTTTTTAAAGATTTATTTATTTTTGCATACAGAACTGGGATACAGGCCAGAGACTCAGGGGCAGTGAGAGGCTTCACCAGAGACAGAGTGGAGATCAGAACAGGCATATCGATGAAGTACACTGCTGAGGGGAGCAGCGGGTGGGTCAGGAGAGCTCTGCCACACCATGTGGTCACCTCCGGGGCAGGCGGGAATCGAACTCATGAGGAAGCGGCTTTAGATTCTCAGTGCTGTGCTTTAACCTGCTGCGCCACCAGGGAGGGCCAATTTTTTTAGTATAATATTTTAATGATTCACCCAAGCTGTTATATATCAGTATGTCTTATTATTTCTTTCTTTTTTTTTTTTTTTTGCTAAGTAATATTCTACAGCTTGGATATACCATAATTTGGTTGTCCAAGTAAATGAACATTTGAGTTATTTAAAGTTTGGGTCTATTATGGATAATAGTGCTATGAATAATATATGTATAAGTCTTAATGTGAACATAGGTTTTCACTTCTCAGGTAAATACTTAGATGTGATACTGATGAATTATAAGACAGCAGATATATTTAACTTTATAACTTCAAAACCATCTCTAAAAAAGTTGCACCATTTTACATTCCTACCAGCATTTTAGGAGAATTCCAATCCCTCTATATTCTTACCAATTCTTAGTATTTTCAATATTTTAAACTTTAGTCATTCTAGAAGAATTTAGCAGTATCTCACTCTGTTTTGGTTTTTATTTTAAGATTTATTTTATTTATGCATACAGAACTGAAGTACAGGTCTGAGGTGCAGGGGATGGATTTACCAGAGACAGAGTGGAGCACGCAGCAGGCAGACTGATGAAGTACACTGCTGAGGGGAGCAATGGGCAAGACAGGAGAGGTCTGCTGCGCCGTGTGGATCACCTCTAGGGCAGGGAATTGAACTTGTACTGAAGCATTGAGGCTACCTTGTAGTGCTGCGCTTTAACCTGCTGCACCACCAGGGAGGACCCTCACTGTGGTTTTAATCTGTGTTTCTCAGATACTAGTGATGTTGCACATCTGCTTTCTTCCAGAACATTTCACCTATCACTTCTCTCACTGAATTACCTTAGCATCTTTGTAAAATACCTTTTGTCTATATAAGTGCAGGTCTATTTCAGGGCTCATTTTGCAGTTCTATTGATATGCATAGCAAGGGGTAGAAAAGTTTGCCTTTAATTAAAGGTCAGAAAGTGAAATGTTAGGTACACCATGTGGTTTTTTTTTCAACCACTCAACTTAGCTGAGTAGCTTGAGTAGATGAAAGGGCATGGTTATGTTTCAATAAAACTTTATTTACAAAAATAAGTAGGTGGTAGGATTTGGCCCCCATATCATTGTTTGCTAGCATCTCAACTGTATGATAAATTATGCTTATGTCAATACCGTTCTTGATTACTATAGCTTTAGAAAATCTTGAGGGCAGGCAGGATGATTCCTCCAAAATTGATCTTTTTCATTATTAGGTTATTTGCCTTTCCATGTTATTTTTGGATGAGCTTATCAATTTATTCAAAATTTTATTAGGAGTGGTTTGAATCTCTATGTGAATTTTTTTCCCATTTTAAAATTACTTTTATTATTATTTACATCATTTTGTGCCTTTTTCCATTTCAGTTGTAATCCCTATGGACTTCCCATCACCAATTCACCCATGTGCCATCACCATAGTACTGTGCACTCTCCCCCTCCACCCATTTTTGATCCCATTCCCCACTCCTCCCCCGTAAAATGTTTCTGGTATATAGTTCATTATTTCCCCCCCCC